AGAGTTAAGGAATTCTCCATGGTGTTGGAGGAACTTCTCCCAAAGAGCTTTGCAGAATTATCATCTGAAAGTCAGGAGGCTTCCAGGCCCATACATAACCTCCATCACGACATCCCTACTGCCTAGTCCTTCAGAACACAGAGGGAGACCAAAGGATGCTTGGCTTTTTACAGACAGCTGATAATACCTGTATTCTAAAGCCAAATTGTACCCAACCACTCAGGGAAAGCTAAGCCTTCCTCTGACTCCGTGCTTCCTCCCTATAACCTCCACCCACAGCCCAAGTTGCAACGCCCTCCGTGAGCAGTGACAGATATGAGAACATTTGAAAACATTTTTCAATTGCCATTCTAGTCTCGATGGCTAGATTCACCTAAAAATTGCTCGGTACACTTTTAACAGTGTACCTAATTTAGTCAAAATTCAGCTTAGAACAAGTATCTTGAGCTTCTAATGTTTCCCATTAAAACAGACGCCACTTTGTGGTTTTGAACCATTAACAATTGTATTCCCACCACCAGTGCAGACATTAGGCATAGCCTCAATTTGTTGGTGAGGATGAAAGGACACTGTTCCCTTTGAGTGTGTACCATATGTCAGCACTCTGTTAGGCACTTCACATTTATTATCCCAATTAATTTTAACAATCATCACAACCCTGTGTGTTAGGGATTGTTATTCCATTTTTTTCAGATGAGGAAACTGAGGCTGAGGGAGGTTAAACAACCTGACCAAGACTCATACCACGATTTATAACCAGGCATGTCCAAGCCTCACACTCTTAAAGAGTACTGTGAACTGTGTCTTGTTCTGAGTAATCCCAAGGGCAGAAGACGCATTTCAACTCTGTGTAAAGGAAGAGCTATCCAACCATCAGCTCCATCTGAGAGTGGAGCAAATGGCCTGCCTCAGGGGGTGGCCAAGGGTGTTCAGATGTTTGAGGATTACTTGCGTGGAAGCCCCTTCTCTCTGGTTAACCATCGCATCCCTAGCATGGTACCTGACACAAACTGGGCCACAATAAATGCTTGTTGGATACATGGAAGGAGATGAAGGGCCGGAGTAGACCACTGGTCCCTTCCAACCTGCCCTTCTTGGATTCTAGTGAGGTTTGGATTTCCCAGAGGAGAGGGTGAGGTGTCAGAGTCCAAAAAGCCACCCAAGGGTGCCACATAATGACAAAGGTTCTTTCAGACCTACTAGCTTTGGACTTAGAACAAAGCACTGCCCTCAAGGGAGCCTCTTCAGTGCATTGGCAGCATGGATGGAAACTGATGTCTGCTGTGCCCTCTCAGGCCGTCATGTCCAGCGACTTTGCCATCTCCCACTTCAGACACCTCAAGAAGCTGCTGCTTGTGCACGGCCACTGGTGTTACTCACGCATGGCCAGGATGGTGGTGTACTACTTCTACAAGAATGTGGTGAGTAGCCCTATGGTAACCTCCCACCTGGACCTTGGGGGGTCCTTGCTGCCCCGGTGGGGAACCAGTTCTCCCCACAGTGGTAGACAAAGCATCTCAGAATAAGGGAATGAGCCAGGCTGACCTGGATTTTGAATCCTGAAACTGTCCCTTGCTCTGTGAGCTTGGGCAAGATGATTCACTTCTCTGGGCTTCAATTTCTTCTTTGATAAAATGGGACTAATACTATCTATTTGGGGAAGTTATTGTGAGGATTTGCAATACTGTATGGAAACACCTGGGACATGGGAGGCAGCATGAGTAGTTACAGGCACGGGCTCTGGAGTCAGACATATTTGGTTCATATCTAGCCTCCTATCTTTGGTAATCGCCCTATAGCCTAGTTTCACCATCTGTGAAATGAAGATGATAATAGTACCTTTCATATATTTGCTATGAGGATTACATGAGAGCTTGTGTGTGTATATATATACACACATATACAAACATACACATATATACACATTTAAACACACACATAAAGTGATTGGCGTATAGCAATCACCCTATAAAATTAGCCATTATTTTTTATTATCATTGTTGCGGCTGTCGTTACTCTTAGAGGGCCTCCATAGATGAGATTTATTTTCGACTTCAAGGAAGAAAGATTTGAAGAACTGGCCTGACTTATATCTTAGATTTTCTCCCAGATAGAACCACCCTAATCCAAGAGCCTCATCCCACCCCTTGGGAGAGTAAAGGTTTAGGACTAGAGTCCCTGGCATCCACCTAAGATCCTACCTAGCACCTCAGCATTGCCAGCCTTCCCAGCAGAGAGTTCATAGAGGTCAGGAGACTAAAATATCTATTGGCAAAAATGCTTGGAGCGGGGAGATCATCTGGGTTCTAGTCTTGCCTGACTCAAGCATGCTGTGAGAACTTGGAAGAGTCACGTAACCTATCTGAACCTTGGTTTCCTCATCAATAATATGGGGACACTCTGACTCTCCCTGTCCCTAGGAGTATTATCAAGAGTCTCAAGTGTCAGAGCTCTGGAAAGCACTATACAAATACAATCATATGAAGACATTATTGTTTCTCCTAAAAAATATGTTCATTTCTGTCTTATTGACAAAGGCCCAAAGCAGGCACACACTAACTGAGGTATTAAAACTGTCAGAGGCTCTTCTTGGAAAAGTCCTCAATTAACAATGGGTGTAGGAAGAAGTCAGAACACTGCTGTACTAAGGGAGGGAACAAGGGCCTGCATTTTTTATTTTCTAGTTCAAGGACCTTTGAATAATCCCCAAGAGTCTCCAAATAGAATTCGATTCCAGTTTGCATAAGGAAAAAGGGAGGATTATGACCAGGGTGATGGAAGATGCACACATGAGCCACGTAGCAGCTGCAAAGTTGCTATGTTTTTTCCCTCTTGCTCGTTTCTTCCAGTCCTGCTTTCAGGCACTGTCACAGGTACCCTCGCTCAGGAATAAGCCTTTCTGTGCAAAGTTCAATGTCTATGTAAATAAATAGCATGGCAAAAAAAATAATGTAAATTTGGTAAACTGGATGGTAATATTATTTCAGCAAGTCTATGCAAACAAGTCTCTCCATTTGACTCGAAACTCAGTCTAAGCATGAAAGAATGTTTACTTAGAATTCAAAATGCCCCTGTTTAATTTTTTTCTTGCCTCCAAAGGAATTGTTCTTTTGCATAAGCACACCCTCTTCTCTGAATTAAATTTGTGAAATAGAAAAGGAAATGTTTCCAGCCAGCCGTGCTTTTAAAGCTTAAATGATATTTATTTCCAGCCCGATGCCGCGCTTGAAATTGCGATACTGATGCTGCGTTATCTCCCCATTGCAATTAGAGGGTGGAGAACTATGACTTCCACATCCGAAACCAATTTCAGACGGGATTAAAACCCTGCCTGCTCTGAAATTTGAACAATGAATTAATTATTGACTGTAGCTTCTTGGGAGGAAAGGCAGGCACCCGATCTCAGCGATGCCATCGCTGGGTTCCGTGCGCTCCCTCCGAGGCGCAAAGATTCCAGCCAGGCAGAGCAAGAGGAAATAAGCGAGGTCCTAATGGGGCTGGTGGAGGAAGGAAACACTCCTTAATGTCAAAACTCCAGGATGAGTGTTAGGACAATAGAATAACTTAGATTTACTTCATTTATTTAAATCATTATTGAATATCTGCTATGTAGGAAACATTATCAGGAACTGGGTATAGAGCAGACATCTAGACGGACGTGGTCCCTGCCCTCAAGAGGCTTACAGTCTAAATCAGGGATCAGCAAACTTATTCTGCAAAGGGCCAGATAATAAATATTTTCAGTTCTGTGGGCCACACAGCCTCTGTCACACCTGCTCGACTCTGCTGTGGCAACATGACAGCAGCTATAGACGACATGCAAATGAATCAGTGTGGCTGTGTGCCAGTGAAACCTTATTTATGGCTGGATTTAGCCTGCAGGATATAGTTTGTCATCTCCTGGTCTCAATAAATCTTCTCAAAATGTGGTTCTTGGACTAGCAGCATGAGCATCACCTAGAAGCTAGTTCAAAATTCAGATCCTCAGGCTGTACCCTAGGCCTACTAACTCAGAATCTGCATTTTTTGTAAGAGCCCGCCCCCCAGGTGATTCATATGAACCTTAAAGACTGACAAGCACTAGTAAAGGGAAAAAACTTAAAATTTAAAAAGAATTTCCTATGGCACATCTCCCTATAGGAAGGTTGGAATACTATGGACATATCACCAGGAGACTCAACCTAATCAACCAGGAAGAAAATAAGATGGAAGCTATGACCTGAAAGAAGAGGAGATAGAGTTATGAGCTAACCAGTTTCCCTGCTGAGAAAGGGAGGGTCAGTAATTTGAGTCCTTTAGGGAAGTATTTCCAGCAATTTATTTAAAATTTTATAGCACAGATTGTATCTAATTCCAAAAAGAAGTGTAAGTGACATACAGTAAAAACACGCAGGCAATAGGGAAGTTATAAAGGAAATATAAGGGTTTAGATCAGGAACCATAGAGAGGGAAGAGGTTATGCACCAGGAACCTGAGATAAGACGCTGAGTATTAAATGTCTGGTTAAAACAAGCAGACCAGTTCTCCAGGAGAAAGACTTCCTCTTTGCTCTAAATTCAGAGCTCAGTTTGTCAAGCAATTAGAAAAATGTCACACAAAAATTTTCAGGAACTTGTCTTCAATGGCATTTTTGTAGGAAATGAGAATTAACCTCTACATAGTCACCCTTTTTTTTCTAACAACCCTTAATAAAAATCAATATTAAGTTATAAAGACATCTCAATGGGAAACTGAGACAATGATATCCAAGCATATAGCATTTTATTGCTTTAACTAGGGCGTTGATAAAGCCCTTTGATACTGCTGCTGTGTGTCAGGTAGGGCAAAGAGCTCAATAAATGATGGTTCTCCAACGCCCAGTTCACCAGAGTTCTCCACACCACCTCTGGTTCCTGTACTGTTCCCTTGGTGCTTAGTACTGCTTGATACTGTTTGGCATAGTATTACTAACATTAACATCCACCACCACTTATAGAGAACCTACCCTGTACCAGACACTGTGCTAAGAACTTTACATATGTATATAACTATGAGAGCTAAGTGTAATATAGGGGTTAAGAGCATATGTGCTAGAGTCAGACTGGGCTCAAATCCCAGTCTCACTCTGCTACTTAACAGCAGTGTGGCCTTAAGTAACGTATATAAGCTCTCTGTGTCTCAGTCTCTTCATCTGTAAAATGGGGATACCACCTAACTCTCACGGTTATTGTGTGTATATATGAGTTAATATGTGTGAGGTGCTTAGAACAGCACCCGGTATACAGTAAATGCTTAATTTGTCCAGATTGAACTAGGTGATGACAATATAAAAGCTGCAATTTGGTGAGACAAAGTGGATGCTCACAGTCTGGAGACATTCCGGCTTGGAGTGAGAGGGGCCAGATCTACATTGTGATATATTAGAGGATGGCCTATGGCTGGCAAACATGCTGCCCTGCTCCCTCCAGCACCCATGGCAGAAACTGCCAGTCACAGCATTCTGTGTGCAGCACCTTCCCCATACAGCACCCTAGGGTGGAACCTACCGGCCTTTCCTGGTGTGGGATAAAGGACTCTCACTGGAGTGCTTGAGACTGAGCTGTAGTCTCAGATCTTGAATTCACTTTAACAAGTGCATCCACTTCCCACATATGACAAGGGTGGACTCTGAGCCAGAACGTCTGGGTTTGAAACCCCCCTTCGCTACTTACTACTTCTACAATCCCAGCCCAGTGATTTGACCTCTCGGAGGCTCAGTTTCCTCAGTTGTATAATAGGGATAATAGTGACTGCCTTAGAGCGCTGTTAGGGGGATTGAATGGGTCAGAACAGAGCTTGGCACAGAGTAAGGGCTGTATGAGTCTTTGTTGCTATTATTATCGCTATTGTTGATATTATTGGCCTCATCTGTAAGATGACGAGATTGGAAGAGATGACATCATTTCCAGCTTTGTCATCCTAGGATTCTACAACCTCAGGTCACAGTTCCAAGCCCAACTGGCTGAGGGACTTTGGTGTAGTCGCTTAGCCCATCTGAGCCACTCAAGCTGCCTATGTGTAAATGGAGATAAGAGTTATTGTCTTACCCATCTACCTGCAGAGGGAGAAGCAAGGCAAGGTGCTCAAAAGGCCAAAAAAAAAAGAAAAAACACATGCAGAGAAGTCGAAGCCTCATACATTTGCTGAACACTAGTATCAAAGAGACTTTTCCATACTTTGGTTCTTCTCAAACCCACCATGTCAAGTGCACAAGTGGTTGATGTTAATCTGGGGACTCAAAGTCTGCCTGTAGGGTATGTCAAACCTACCTGCAACACAGTAAACAGACTAAGCCCCTTCCCTTCTAAATCCCCTCCTCTGAGAAATAACTTCACCAAAACTCACAGGAGAAGAGCCCTCGCAGCATCACGGGACTGTAACAGAAGGAGGTGACCAATAGAGGGGAGCCCAGCTTTGGGACAGAGAAATGCAAGGTCTAGGATTCTCAGAGCACTGGGATCTCTTTCAGAGCCACGAAACTTCCCACTAGTCATGTGGGAAGAAAAGCTAAAGGACGGAGCTCATTGGCTGGAAGAATCTTGGTCAGCATCGTTATTTTGTAATCCAAAGATGGGACTGAGAAAGGTTGGGGGATGGTCAAAGAGAAAGAGCTTTGAAAACTCAGATGCTGGTTGTACCACTTTCTAGCTCTGAACGTGAGCAAGGGGTAACCGAGTATCTCAGAGCCTCAGATTCCTTGTCTGTAGAGTGGGGCTAATATTATTATTATCAATATGTAGCATATTAATATAACAACACACAAATATACTATTATATTAGCAATAATATTAATCTTGCAAGATTGTTAGGACAAATTATAATGTATATTGCACATCTAATAAGGTACTATATACTAATATACTGATCCTATGATACACATCATACACCTGGCACAAATAGAAGCTCAAATAATAAATATTTCTGTTACTACTAATACTAATATTAACATGTTCATATTACTGTTATTACAATAGTAAATAGCCTCTTCAAAATAACACTGGCTCAGTAGTTAGGGAATGAGATTGCTAACTTGAACACAAACCTGCTGAATGATTTCTTACACTACCCTACCCCTCTCTGTGCCTCAGCCACACAGAGCTGAGAAGTTCTAGTCCTTACTCCAGACCCAGCTACTTAAGTGACCTTGGTCAAGTCACCAAACTACATCACAATATGGTAGACAATAACAGTGACCCAGCCCATCTCAGGTGGGGAGGCCTTGAGTGGGAAAGAGCTTTAGAAGACATAAAGCACATTTAGGCAGATTTCTTATTCACCCTTCTGAGTTGCATGACCTTTATGGAAGTATTGTGAGGCAAACCTTCTCATGAAGTCATCTTCCCACCAGGCTTCCTGCCCGCGGTCCAGTCTTTCTGTCATCCCTTCCTCGAGAACATCCCTTTCTCTTACCACACTACTAATAATAGCCACTGCCTCTTATGTGTCACATGCCATGGTCTAGGTGCTTCTATTCTCATCTAAAAGATGCCAAGATGATGTTCAGAAAGGTGAAGCAATTTGCCCAAGGTAACACAGCTAGTAAATGACAGAAATGGGGATTCAAAACCAGGCTTCTCTGCCTCCAAAACCTGTGCTCTTACCCACCACAGTACACTACCTTAGCAAGCTGGTGGGGTTCCCTTCAAGTCCTCAATAGTTAGTAGTAATAGTTAGTAGTAATCGCAGCAGCAGCTGCTGCCCCAAGGGTTCGAGTTCTTTCCAAACCTTACACATCCTGCCTGTCACAAATGGGGAAATGGAAGCTCCAGGCCAGCGCGGGTGGCTTGTGGGAGCTCCTGAGCAGCGGTGGAGGACCAGCTGCCCGCGGGTCCGCACTCACGAGGCCACGCTCTCTGCCTGCAGTGCTATGTCAACCTGCTCTTCTGGTACCAGTTCTTCTGCGGTTTCTCTGGCTCCACCATGATTGACTACTGGCAGATGATATTCTTCAATCTCTTCTTCACCTCCTTGCCTCCTCTCGTCTTCGGAGTCCTTGATAAGGACGTCTCTGCAGAAACTCTCCTGGCGTTGCCTGAGCTGTACAAGCGTGGCCAGAACTCCGAGGTGAGCAGCTTCCCCCCTGACCTGCAACTCCTCCCTGGAGGTGTCAGAGAAAGAGCGCTGGGCTGGGGGTCCCGTGTTCTGGTCACCACTCTGCCACTCACCTCCCACGTGACCGAGGAACTCGGCTCCCTGTTGCTGGCCTGTTTCTCGTTTGTTGTTGAGGGTGATGGACCAGACCAGTGCGTATTTTTCTTTTTAGTTATTTCTTAATTATATCACACATTAATATGGGACTGCCCTAGTTGGACGGGGGGAGGGCACGCAGAAAGATCCCCCTTGTCTGGCTCATCTCTCCAGGCTTTCGACAGGAGCCCCCGAAGCTTGGTTTGGGAGCCCCTGAGATGAAAGCTCGTTTGCTCATAACTGGGTGAGGCGTTGAAAAATGAGGCCTTCTACTTCATGTCGGCGAAGGCAAAACTTAAAACTCAAGATTACACATGGTCTAGAACTTCCTGGTATCAAGTAGACTAAAGGAGGCCCAAGAAGCCATCAGGATGGTTTCTTAGAAGGCACAGAGAGGCCACACTGGCACCCTGAATGATTTGGAGAAGTCAGATAGCGGGAACTCCAGGTGGTCAGACTTGCACAGACACAGGCTAGGAGGTTGGATGGAGAAGACAGAGAGGGACCCCGACTGCCTCAAAGGAGGAGCTCTGGTGAAAAGGGAAATCGAAATGCCTGAGAGTACCTTTGCACCTAGGGGAAAGGAGGGCAAAGCCAGATGTGGTATTTGAGAGCTGGTGATATTTTGTGGACAGCCAAACAACCGCCCAATCCTGACCCAAAGACTGGAGGAGAGCAACGCAGTCTCCAGCACTTCAGGCGAGGGAGCCATGGCACATGTGCATCCTGGACCCTTCTAAGTGTCCCCTTCCCATAGACAAGCTGGCTGCATCATGCATTCCTTGAGTATCTAACATTAAAAGTTAACATAGCAATAACATAAACTGTAAATGGTTTCACTTTTCCCAGGGAAGGCAGGAAGAGTGAGGCACAAAATGGGAAGGCTTGTCCCTGAAGCCACTGAGCTCTTCTGTTGGGAACCTGGGATCCTGGGCTGTGATTGAGAGCTCCCTTTTAGATGCTATTCAGAAACCCTAGAATCCCTAGACTTACCAAGTTCATATTAGCACTAGCAATGTGCCAATGAATGATAGTCATTAATAACTGAGCAATAACTATGTACTAAAGCACAGTTTCATGTAGACCTCTGAAAACCCAAGAAAATAGTTGGTCTTGTTTTTATTCACTTTTTATGGAATAAGAACCAATTCTCCAAGCAATTTAGTGACTTTCACAGTTAGTGACAGAGCTGGGACTTGAACTGAGGTCTGTCACCCCCAGGTCCATGCTCTTAATCATTCATAAGAGGCATTGTCAGTGCCATATTGTCTGCTCCAGCTCAGCACGAGAAAGTTGCTTGCAAAGAGTAGAGGTTTGCTTTGATGGTAGTAACTGTTGTGTTCTTTCCTCGCAGTGCTATAACATGCTGACTTTCTGGATTTCCATGGCAGATGCGTTCTACCAGAGCCTCATCTGTTTCTTTATTCCTTACCTGGTAGGTTATATGGTCCCATTCTAACCATACAAATCCCAGAGTAGAATTGCTCTTGTTTAAATGAAGTCCAAAACTAGTAGTGTCTTTCTGGACACCAGAGCAGAGGCTCCAAACAAGTAGCCTACAGACTACATCCAAACCAGGGTATTTGGAAAGTCAGAACACTTGACTAAAACGTCTTAATTTCTGCCAGCTTTTGAAAAACTGAAAGCTATCATTACACAAGGTCATTTTTCCCGCATGGCAAAAATCCAGAGTTGACTCACAGCCCTGTTTAGATAGGGTGCATAGTCTCCAGTTTGCCACAGTCCCCACTGCTCCCTTTTGTCTTATACCTTGCCTTCTTCACTCATTTGCTCTTTCTTACTTGAGCAGTGAAGGTATTTGAATTTTCAACCCTTAATTTATATTTAGATTTGTGCTTCTAAGGTCCAGGCAGCAAGCATTCAGGCAGCAAGTTCTGATAGTAAGGGATACTACATTATCTGAAACAAAAGCAAGAATACAGATAACAAGGGATACCGGCCCCATCTCCAGTTGGTCCCCCAGTTTAAAGAGTAAGAATTTAGATAGCAAAGGATATCTGTATTCTTCCTGGACAGGGAACTAGGATGTGGGATAATTGCTACCAGGTAAACAGTGGCGTCTACTTGGCCTCTGGGCTCATGTTCTTTTGCAATTAGCAACAAGATGGGTGTCAAGGAAGCAGCATTTTGTGCTTTGTTTGAATATCCTGGCTTATAATACCCTCCCCGCCCAGGCCTCTGCTTGCCTTTCCAGCTTCATCTTTAGTCCCTACGATGTGCTCAACTGACCTGCCATCTAGGACCATTTGGACTTTTCACCCTCAGTTCTGGCCTTTGCTTGGTCTGCCTTTCCTTTCTTTTTTCAAGAGATTAACTCCTCTTATTATGGTCTCAGCTGATATAGCCCCTCTTCTGTACTCCCAGGGGGCCTTGTACTTGCCTCCATTATAAGACTTACCCCCTGAAGTTGTACATGTGCCCTGCCTAGTAAACTGTAAACTCTTTGAAGGTGGACACAGAAGTATCTTCAGCAATTGGCATTGTGCTTAGTGGGTGCTCAATAAATTCTTTGTTCATTCATTCCACAATATTCTGGAATACGCATCATGGCTTCCTCTGCAAATGCATTTCTAAAGAAGTTCACCCTGTCAACTCACTCCTCATCTTGTCTGTTCCTTGGGGCAGTTCCACATGGATGACAGCTGGATGGAAAGCTTCTCCCTGTTCCTTCTCCTCCCTGACCCCTGCCTTCACTGATGCTTTATAATCACTCTGTCAAAGCCAAGGCCTTGAGTCCCTGGGCACATCTCACAGTGCCTGTTTGTTCCTCCTCTGCAGACCTACAAGGACTCTGATATCGACGTCTTTACCTTTGGAACACCCATCAACACCATCTCCCTCGCCACAATCCTTTTGCACCAAGCGATGGAAATGAAGACCTGGGTAAGCACCTCAGAGCCCCTTTGGCCTAAAAGTTGTGTTCCTGTCCATTGCCCACATCCAGATGTCTGAGTTGTTTCACTCTCTATTGTTGATCTACTTGATAAATACGTACTGAACTCCTACCTGTGTCCCACTTTTGTGGGGATGAAAGAGGCATAGAAGATAAAATTCCTGGCTTCAACTTACTCATCATCTAGTCAGAATGATAAAAGTAAGACATATAAAACAATAAGACAATTTGTTCCAAAAATAGATATTTTTGACAAAAAATTAGAGGTGTTTCAGGGACAATAAAAACATTAGACTGACTGTACTCAAGGCTGTGTTAGGGAGGTATGTTCCCCATTTAATTTTGGGGTAAAAGTTTAGAAGACTGCCTCCATGTAAGCACATCTCAAGCATGTCCAAATATTACCTTTTAGTATCTAAAAAAGGCAATGCCAGCTTTCTCATTAAATTCTTGAAGTCAATGATAATTATAAAAACAAAGAGCTTAAAATTAAGGTACCTATCTACATGATTTAATGTATTATCTCATTTAACCTTCTAGAGCCCTTTGTGTTAGGTGGGGGTATTTTTGTTTTTTGGTTTTTTTTTCAGTTTTATGGAGATATAACTGACATACAGCCCTGTATAAGTTTAAGGTATACAGCATAATGACTTGACTTACATATATTGTGAAGTGATGAATGTTAACTAAACTTATTGTAGTAATCATTTTGCAATATATGCATGTGTTAGGTGTTTTTTTATTCCCATTTTATAGATATCAAAAAAGGTACAAGAAACTTTCCCCAAGCAGTTCAAGATAGAAGCAACTATGAACCCTGGCAGTCTGATTCTTGACCTTTTAACTCCTATGCTAATAGTGTGAGGAGGTAAGATTGAATGGTGCAGGGAAACCACTTTACAGAAAGATTTGTCCTTAGCCAAGCTGAAATGGCTCTTTTAGAAAGCATATGTATTAAAAAATTTAAAAACTGCCCCAAGTAGTTTCACTGTGTTCCCTACATTGTGCAATGGAACTTCCTCCCCACCACTCCCCCACAAGCTAGACCAGGCCCTGACATGCTGGGCAGTGGCTGATAAGCGCCGTCCAAGGGAACTTCCAGATCACAGAGTTCCCATTTTGAAAACCCCTTCTGCTCTAAATCATGCTGATGACAGATAGAACAAAGTGATAAAACCCGAAAGGCGTAGCTAAGCTTAAATACAGGATGAATTTCTTCAAGAACCACCAGCACCAGAAGAGGCTGAAACACAATAGTGTGGGGGAGGGGAAGGTACTGGACAGGCTCAAACTGAAGGCTTTCTGGAATCCAGGACAGGAGACAGACCATGGCAGTGGGGAGTCCAGCTCCTGTGGGGTAGGGAAGACTGGAGCCCCATTTACTGCTGGGTCCCAGGTCTGGGCTGGAGGTCTCCCACTCAAGAAAGAAAGCTGAAGAAAAGATGACAATGACAAGTTATTTAGAGTTACCGTTTTATCAGAAGCTGTTTTATCAGAATAGAGGAAGGTGGGCAAGAGTCAGAGATACAACTTGAACACTAGGAACTGAGCCAAGCTAAGGAAACGTTTAGAACTCTTGAAAATGAAAAATTTTTTTATTAAACTTAAAAATGCAATTTGTAGGATCCACTCTAGATTGACATGGGCAAAAAGTCAACTACCACATTGGAAGGTAGTATTGGGAACTTGTCCAGAATGCTACACAAATGTGGAAAAGTAGTTAAGAGGAATGGTGGCTAGACTAAATGGCTTCAGCATCCATGTAATAGGAGTCATAGAAGAAGAAAAAGGAAAGAATGGTAGAGAAGCAATAGATGAAGAGGTAATCAATGAGAATGAAAATTACCCAAAATAAATCTGGATGTATGGCCTGGATACATCATAGTGAAGCTGTGCATGGTAAAAGACAAAGAGACAATCCTAAAGTCTATCAGAGACTATGAACAAATTACTTGAAAAGGAACAGCAGTTAAACTGACAAACAATAGAAGCCAGAAAACAATGGAGTAATTATCTTCAAAGACCTGAGGGGAAATAACAGTTACACTATTACTTAAGGCTAGGGCAAAATAAATGACATTTTCAGACAAACTCTGTAAGGTTTATCACCCATAGACCCTTGCTAAAAGAAGAAACCTAAAAGTTAAAACTATAAGAAACAACATAATGGTAAAGAAGGGCTGTTGAATAGGTAATTAATTTATGCTGAAGCTTTCATCATGAACACATTTAACTATAAATTTTTTTATAAAAGTCCACATTTATTTAGTGTCTCTTAAAACTTAAGGTATCTCAATAGGTAAGAATAATATCTTACAGACTTAAGAGGAATATAGGAAACTATCTATTCTGCAGCATATAGGGAAGATGAAAAGAGCAAAAAAAATGATGGCAAACAAAAAATACAAAATAAGAGGTTCAAAATAAATCCAAATATATCAGTACTCATAGTAAATGTAAATGGATTTAATTCACCTATTAAGAGCAAAAATTATCAGGTCAGATTTTATCTAGCAAATATAAGAAGAAATGGACAAATTTACAATTATAATGTGAGATTTTTATACAACTCTATCAGAAACAGATAGAGATCAAATAGAAAGGATAGAGAAGCTTTGAATAAATTATCGCATTTGATCTACTATAATTATATCTAATATATAAAATCCTGCTCCAAATAGCATACATGCATCTTTTCAAACACACACAAACCATATACCAAAAATTAAAAAGACCAAATTCTGAATCACAAAAGAATTTGGAAGAATCAGTGTCATAAAGAGCATGTTTTCTGACAACAATACATTTAGATTAAAAACGAGCAATAAAAAGATAGCAAAACAAACATAACATGCTTGGAAATTTCAAAACACGCTTCTAAATAACTCATGAAATCAAGAGTAAATCATGATGGAAATTATACTTATTGCTGAATGACTATAAAAATACTACATATACAAACTTGTAGGATGCAGCTAAAGCTTTTATTATTAAAAACAAAAAGATGAAAAACAAGTTAAGAATTCAACTCTGAAGAACTTAAAAAAGTTACCATGTAAACCTAAGGAAAATAGAAGAAAAGAAAAGAAAAAAGATAAGAGAAAAATCAAGGAAACAACAGAAACTAATCTCTGGCAAAACTGATCCAGGAGAAGACACAAAAATAGAAACCATAAAAACAATACTAGGAATGAAAAAGATTAATTATAGATATAATCAATTTTTTTTAATATTTTTTGAAAATTTAAGCCAGTTCATAATTTCTTTAAATGTAAACTTTACCAAAAAATAGTCAAGGTCATTCACCAAACCTGAATAAACCAATCACCATTAAAGAAATTGAATTGGTAACCCTGTCCTCAAAGACACAAACCCAGAAGATTAAAAAGGTGAGTTGACCAAATTTATAAGGGACAAATAATCCCTATCTTATACCAATTTTTTCACAGATTAGAAAAGTAGAAAAGATAGGCAATTCATTTTTCATGGCTAGAATAATTCTGATACCAAAATGGGCATGGACGTTTCAAGAAAAGAAAATTATAGACTAATCTCACTAAATGAACATAGATATAAAAATTCTAAATAAATTATTGGCAAATCAACTCAGCAGTGTATTAAAGATAATAAAGCCCAAGCAAGGAACTTTCATATCCTGTTAGTAGACTGTAAACCAATACCACCATCTGGAGAGCAATTTGAAAATAGCTAGAGGAGTTTAAGTACTCGTATGCTATGACACCAGTCCACTTCTAAGTATGCACCCTGGAAATACTCTTACACGTGTATGTACAGAGGCATGTACAAGAATGTTTGTTATAGTATAGTTCTTAATAGAAAAAATAATTGGAAAGTGCCTAAATGTTCATCCACAGACAAATAAATAAATGTGGCATAGTCAAGCAATAGAACAGTTAAAATGAATAAACTAGAGCTGTGTCTATCAACACAGATAAGACACCAAAGCATAATGTCTAGTGAAAAAAAAGTTACAAAAGGATACATATGCATGGTAAAGTAAAAAAGCAACTGTAAACATGGATACAGAAACATGTATGAATAAAATACGCATAAGAATGATGAACACTGAATTTTGTTTGAGATTAAAGAGAAGGGATTTGCAAGGGATATATGGGTGTTTTAACTGTATCTGTAAGATTTAATCTTTTAATAAAAATCTGAGGCAAATATGATATAAGGTTAAAATTGATAAAGCTGGATGTTGAGTACATGAGGTTTGTTGTCTGTATGCTTGAAATATTTCATAATCATTTAATTACACTTTTAAAAAACTAGCCCAAGATATTTCCCAAGAGGAACTCTGCTCTCTATGACCCTCTTAACCATTAGATTTTTTTTTTGACCTTTCAAAATGCCCTGCAAAGTATAATCAGGCCTCGATTGTGTATTAAATGGGTGATGAGACTAAAGATTCTGTATCCTCTGATTGGTCGCTCGGCCCACTTTCTCAAAGCACTGCATCCAACTGCTTTGAAAGAGGGGAGTTGTTCCTTTCACTCACCATCCAGCATTTTTAAACCACCTAATGCTTCTCTAGACCAGGTATCCCAGTTAGTTACTGGTGATTTCTGTTGCTCTTGGGAAAGGAGTCAGCTACTAGAATCATTATGAAAAATATATTTCCCTTTTGAAAGTGCTTGAAGCATGGGGAAAGTCTATGTCTTCCCTGGGTAGAAATCTAACATGAATTTTAATAACTGTGTCAGTTTTCACAGTCCCCACCAAAGCAATTGAAAAAATTAGCTAACTGCTTTCTTCTCCAGGAACAGGGTCTCGATTTTTCAGATCACCTTTCCCACTGAAAACAACTAAAAATAATGAATAATTTACAAAAAAAAAAAAAAAAGCACTCCTTAAAAGCATATAGGAAAGAAAAAAAACCTCTGGGAAAGGGGAATTCTAGAGAAACAAGCTGAGCCAAAGCCTCTGTTTTCTTGAGGGTGTTTGCAACCCTGCCCAAAGTGAGCTTTGTTTTTGGCAGACTTGACTGAGCAAAAGGTTCAGAAATCAAAACCCACACACCCATGGTGGGAGTCTAATAAGATACTACATTAAATTAGGACCCCAAGGGCTACACCACCCAAAAGTGCACTGGCCTGTACACCTGCCCCAGCAGGGACTGAAAGGATTGTTCCCACCGTGCTGAACTGAGCAGGGAGAATCAGTATCAAGGACCTGTCCTGGGACATAGACCGTGTGCTGGCCTCATCCAGATTTGCAGCCCAGGTTTGTATCACCTGGGTGAGCCAAACTTTGATCTATGAATTCAGTTTAAAATGACTCAGGACTGAGAGTGGCCAAGGCCTATTATTATTGCAAAATAAATACACACACACACACACCCTCTCTAGGGAAAGGTATCTCATCGTAAGCCTCAAATTGTCCCTATTAACTTTCCAAGGGAAATAAGCATCACATATTCAAAAATAATCAAGCTCTCAAGGAAACAAGAAGCCATTAGTGAGGGTCAAAAAAATAAAATCAGAAAAATATTTCAGGTGTTGGTATTATCAAATATAAATTATAGAAAAGATTTTTCTAAAGAAGAATAAGCTTTAAAATATCTGCGGGGGTTTGCAAACTATACAAAGCAGCCCAACATATTTGAAAAGAGATCACATAAGATATTTAGAAATTAAAAAAATACAATAACTATAATTTAAGTTTCAATGGCTGGCTTAACAGCAAATTAAACACAGCTAAAGGGGAGAGTTAGTGAATTGGTCAAAAGAAATTATCCAGAATATAAAACAGGGGAAAAATAATGAAAATTATGGAAGAGATATTAAATATACAGAAGATAGAGTGGTATCTGAAAAGGTCTAATATACGTTTGATCAGCATCTCAGAAGGAAAGGAGAGAGAAAAATGAGACAGAGGCAGTATTTGAAAAGATAGTGACTTCAGAATTTTGCAGAAGTGATGAACTTTGCAGAAGTGATGAAAGATATCAATCCACAGATTCAAAAAGCTTTGCAAAACTCAAGATAAATAAAAGAAATCCACACTTATCATAAGGAAACTATAGACCACTAAAGACAATATAAAAATGAAAAGCAGCCAGATTTTAAGAGAGAAAGAATTCCTTCTAAGGAACAACAGGTAAAGAGTTGCTAACTTCTCAATAGCAATGACAGAAGCCAGAAGACAGTGGAATGCTAGCTTAAATATACTGAAAGAAAATAACTGCCAAACAAGAATTCTATATCCATCGAAAATATCTTTCAAGAAAGAGAATGGAATAAAGCATCAGAGAATATATCACCAGCAGACTCCCACTAAAGGAAATGCTAAAGGATATACTTAAAGCAAAAGGAAAGAAATATCAGATGGAAGGTCCAAGATGCAAGAGGAAATGAAGGCATAAAAAGTGGTAAACATAGAAAGTAGAAGTAAATCTTGATGAATATTGACCATATTAAACTATAATGACTTATATGTGCTTTAAAAAGATAATGGACTTAAAATATGCAGTAGCAATAAGTCAGGAGAAAGGTAAACAGAGTTAAAGTGCTGTAAAGCCCTTGTATAACTCAGGAGGAGGAAAAAGTAGTTATAAACTTTAGTCTGTGGTAAGATTATTGTCATTTATTGAGTAATCACTTAAAGAATAGAAATGGAGTGTATAACTTTCAAACTAGTAAAGGGAAAAAATGAAACTATACAAAATAGTCAGTAAGTTTAAAAGAGGACAAGAATGGGGGAAAAAGAGCCAGCCCTGATGGCCTAGTGGTTCAAGTTTGGCGCTCTCACCGCTTCAGCGGCCAGCGTTTCCCGGTCATGGAACCACACCACCTATCTGTAAGTTGACATGCTGTGGTGGTGGCTCACATTAGAAGAACTGGAAAGACTTACAACTAGATATACAACCATGCACTGGGGCTTTAGGGAGGAAAAAAAACACAAAGAGGAAGATTGACAACATATGTTAGCTCAGGGCGAATCTTTCCCTGCAAAAAAGAAAAAAGGCATGAGATGCCCCACTACAAATAGAGTTTAAAAAAAACTGGGGAAAAAGAAGCACAAACAAGCAGGGTAAAAGATCAGACAACAGAACACTACACTGCTTTGCAAATGGATAAACTACAGCCACGTACGGAAAAAAATGCATTCATCACACAAACATAATATTGAGGGGAAAAAAGAAAAATCACACAAAAGGTGATCTATTTTTCTAACATTTCAAAACAGGCTATATAGGAAAGCATAAAACTACAAAGGATAGCTGGGAAATTATCACCAGGCAAGGATGAGACAGAAGATTTAGGAGTTCTTGGGGTATGTGTGTTCAAATTCTGGGTGGTAGCAACATGAGTGTTTGCTTTATTATGAGCCATTAAACTGCACACTTTTTTTAATGTTTCAAATGTGTGTTGCATTTCCAAAAAAAGAAGTTTAAAACAAAGTTACCCTAGCAGTGTGATTGCACTGCCCCCTAATCTAAACGTTCAACAGTGTTGATTTCTTCTTTCCTTCCACAGACCGTCATCCACGGGCTTGTTCTCATAGGCAGCTTCCTGATGTACTTTGTGGTATCCCTAGTGTACAATGCCACCTGCCTCACCTGCAACAGCCCCACCAATCCTTACTGGGTGATGGAGCGCCAGCTCTCAGACCCCACTTTCTACCTCGTCTGCTTCCTCACACCGGCCGTCGCTCTTCTCCCAAGGTTTGAGCGTGGGAGCTGTTTTCTTCCCAGAACTACCAGTCTCCCCTTAATAAGCCATGTTCATAATCCCAGGGTCAAGAGTTTGACTCCTCCTGGGATCCTTGAGGCTATTGTTTCAAAGATAGGGTGCTAGGACAGAAAGAACAATGAACTAGGAGGCAAAAAACATGGGCTCTGGTCCCAGGTCAGCCACAGAGTAGCGAAGTCCCCCAAACTGGTGTGGCCTCAGTTGTGACATCTATAAAATGGGAGTAATAATTCCTACCCTCCTGCCTTACAAAGGCAATGATTCCCTCCTTGTGTATAGAGAATCATTTTGGAAAGCTCTCTGGTCCTTTATTTATTAGCCCAGGAGTCTCACACTCAAATGCCTGCAACGACAGGTAAGCAACTACAGAAAACCAGGTAAAGGACAGACATTGACGTTGGGAGAAAGAACTTTCCAGCTTCACCCTATCATTGCCACCAGGAAAGATCAAGTCTAGCATTTCAGAGCTTCCGATTTTTCCTAGGAATTCAAATTTTTCATGAAATAGCCAACTTTTTAATATTACTCAAATTTGTTAAAACACACACACACAATGTGTATTAGCCAAATAAATCATTCATGCCCACGGACTATTTCTAACATTTCCAGCCATTTGCCTCTTCCAGAAAAACAACAATAATGCCTTGCATTTCCTTGGAGTTCAATCTTGACACATGCTCTCTTATCTAGCTACTCATTTTGCTTTTGCAAAGTCACCTAGAAGTTAGGCAGAGCTGTGCTTCTAGTCCCACTTGCTCAAGGGACAGCTCAAGTCCCAAGAGGGACCAGAATGTGTTCACATGCCCACCACAAATCACAGTGGAGCTGGGTTCTCCCAACTCAGAGGCCAGCATTCTGTTCTCCAGCCCATACTGTCTAGTCAGAGAAGTTTGGGAACTTGACAATCATGTACCCATAGGCAAGACTTAGCCCCTCTCCATCCTCAGGATCTCACCACCCTGAACATCGAGATTCAGCCACTTTATAAACTATACTCAACAGGCCATTGCAATATTGTGCAGAACTTCTTCTAATACAAAATCAGGCAGAGAGGCATCAGCAGGTTTTGCTTCCTTTAGTAAGTTTGGCAGCTTGCTTACCCTAGTTTGGTCTCCATTTCTTTTTCCTAAGCCACCTCAGACCTTGACCTCTGAAGACACCAAGGTGACAAATACTATCGGAGTCAGTGAACCCCACAAACTTTGGTTGAGTTCTAAGCATGCACTGTGTCCACGGCCTCCGTGCTTGGCCCCTACTGGTCTCTGCAGCCTCATCTCTCCACTCCTTCCCTCAAACTTTGGGCTCCACGCAACCAAGCTTCTTGTACTTCCTTAAAGGCCCCATGCCCTCTCACCTCCCTGCCTTTGTTTACACCGTTCCTTCTGTTAGAAATGCCCTTCCCATTACCAAACCTCCTCCTGCTTTGACGTCGTTTCAGGCATGACCAATTCCAGAAGGCTTTCTCTTCTTCACCCACCTTCCTCAGGCTGTAACAGGTCCCTTCTTGCGTGTGTTCCCATCACTGGGGTGTATCTCTGTCACTGCCTTTATCCCATTTATTATAAATTGTCTGTTTATCTTAGTCTGACCATTAACTCCTGGAAAGAAGGTGTTCTCCTTATCATTATACAACCAACACCTAGCACAGTTCCTGTCACATAGGCTGCACTCAGAGAGAAATGAGGAATGGATGCTAAAATAACAGAAGATGAATAAAACGGAATCCTTGCTGTCAAGGAGCCCGCAATCTAGCAGACGATTCAGACATAAGTTTGACCGTGTTATGGGTACTCTGTATTCACAGAGGGCCCTAAGAGTGAAGAGTAGGAAGCAATCAAAAAGAAGCACAAGCCTCAAAGGACATATTTCCCACCCCACCCCTGGAAAGATGGACCCTGGGGAGACCATGAGGATTGCGCCCTCATTGGAAAAGGGCATCAAATACATGGATTAAATATTTTTGTCCACACTTTTGGGGTTGAACATGGTTTTGATCACCACTGACCAGGGTCTAAGCTCCTCTGTCCTGTTTCTTATTTGGGATATGGAAATAGGAAATTATGAGCCCCGTATTGTTTGTGTTACCCTTGGCTAGAAAACACACTTGAAGCCAAAGTCTCTCAACTTGATGAGAATCATTGAAAAGCACGAAAAGACTATTGATACTTTTCTTTGAAAAGATAAGCACTCAACATTACAGCTTGTTAAACAGATGAGGGACAAGTAAGGGAAAAGTTAGCAAATATTTACCTGCTAGTTACCATAGTGCATGAGTTAAATCTTTGCTTATTCTATATTATCATCATAAAGTTGAATTTCTGTTTACTAAGAAAGGCAAAGAGATTTCCTCTGATAGTGAAAGGATTATTTTAACAGTTCCAAGTACTGTTGAGTTGTAACCTTGGAACTATTAATGTTTTTTATGGAAATCTACATTATAGAATGTTTGCCATAGAAAACTGTATTTGTTCATGTAAAGTTGTAAGCTGTATTTATCATAATGGAGATTGACTTCACTCACCAAGCTTGTGATAATTAGCCCACTAACCTTGAACTCACTAATCTTGGTCTAATTAATTCAACCAGTATATGAAAACTGTACAGATTCTTTTAAACTAGGAACAAGTAAATTATTTTACAGATAAAAGAAAAGAACCTAACACAAACTTGAAACACAATGCAGCATCTTAATTAGCTACAGTGGAGGATAACAGTCCTTGGACACTTTTCCCTCGGCTTTGATAACCCACAGTCTCTTTGTTTTCCTCCTGGATCACCTTTGTTTCCGTTGCTGGCTCATGTCCTTCACATGGTGTACGTCAAACCTTGGTCGTAGTTTCTCCCATCTTCTAACTTTAACTCTCTCTGTAGATACAGCAACCACTATTGTGAAGTTAAATATTATTTTTAACAGATGAATCTCCAATACAAATTCCTGGCGCAGATCTCTCTTCTGAATTCCAGATACATCTTTCTTGCTACCTAGTCATCACTTCCCCTGGGCATGCTGACTCTGAGGAAAGTAGGAGACCGACAATTTAATTCATGATCCACCCTCTATCACCACTGCCATCCAAGAAACCTGGGTTTCTTCCCGAGTCCCTTTCATCAAATGTTACCCACTTAGGATCGAGGCAGACCCGGGGGAGTTATTCTTGATACTGCCCACCACCTTATGCCCATATCGAGCCTATCACCAAGACCTGACAGTTCTGTCTGCTACATATTTCTCAAATCCATCTGCTATTTCCATTTCTACAGCAACCACCATGGGTGGGTTATAATCCTTTCATCCTAAATTAGTTCAATAGTCTCCTATTGGGTTTTAACCTAATCCATTATCATTGTGTCAAAGTGTCATCATGTCATCTGTTTATAACCCTCCAAGGTCTTCCCAAGGCCTTTACAATAAAGCACCGAAACCAAAACGTGGCCCACAGTCCTTGCCTGCTCTGTCCCTTCCAAGCTCTTCTGTGTGCTATTTCCCCATTCTTGTCCTCACTATCCACACTTCAGCCATTGTGCTCCAGATTGGTTCTCACGCCCTCCCTGCCTGTCTACCTCCTATGCATCCCTCAGTCCTCAGCTGTAATGTTTCTTCCTCTAGGAAGGTCTCTCACACCAGATCAGGTCTTTGACCCTCATTGCTCCCTCTGCTTAGAACTCTGTTCATGGGCTACATGAGAGCTAGAAGCCTGTCTGTCTTGGTCACAGCTTAATCCCCCCTTGGGGCCTGGCCCATTGTAGGGACACAACAAGTATTTGTTGAATAAAGGGACGGAGAAGGAAAGGGATGGCTTGGGGGAAAAGTGTAAACTGAGAAAATTCCAGTTTCCAGGCAATAAGTTTTTCCTGCAATACATACATGGCCACCTGTATACTGCCTCCCTGGGTGAAATGAGAAAGAATAAGGAAAGCTTATCTCATTCCTTGGGATCTGCTACAGTCTTCAGAAAACCCTGACTCACTGTGAGGTCACCCTGAAGCTTTTAGACATAGTGAAAGGATGGGAGCCTCTCTGCTCACAATTCTTAAGAAATAAAAATTTTTAAATGATCATTTTTGGAAAAGATCTTAGATGTCTTCTGGACCAATAGAATTACTTGTTGAATAAAGAAACTGACACCCAGAAGGGAATATGAGTTGCCCATTATCACAAGATGGTGTATGCTTTCTCCATACATCACATAGTTTTATTTATTTATCTTCTCCTTCCCTTCCTAAACTTGGAATGGGGAAAAGATTCTAGGCACAGATAGAGATTCCCAATTCCAGAGTCCACTCGGCCACATGCAGCTTTCATGGGGAAAAGAACCCTGAGTTCCATCAGGGAGATCTATTTACTTCTTGAAAGACCTTTCATCACTTAGGGCCTCAGTTTCTTCACCTGGAAAATAGTGATAATACAGTGATGCTGTGAAGTCAGCGTGGCCCGTGGATTCAAGAAAAGAATATGTATTTAGAAACTACTTAAAAATTAAGTTCTATGAAGGGTTGAACATTACATAGCAAGTAAATTTGCCAAATTAGAATAGCCTATAAATAGAATGGACTGCCTTGTGTATGAGAGAGATGAGAAGAGCATCGGGATCCAGAGTGCTTGGTTCTGCCCACAGCTTGATCACTGTGTGGCTCTGGACAAATCACTGAATCTCTCGGTGCCTCGGTTTCCTCATCTGTACACAGGAGGAAACAAAAGCACCATGTGTTGCATGGAATTGTTGAGACAATAGGATGAGTTAATAACACGTAAGGCACTTAGAATAGTCCTGGTACATAATAAATGTTAGCTATTATATTCTGTTGTCGAACTCCCCAGCACCAGAGGTGCCCAGGCATAGATTTGATAACCATCAGTGCAGCAAAGAGGACCTCGCCCCGGGTGGGGAGTTGGAGACTAAGGCCCCTTTCAAGTAGTCAACAAAACAGAATAAAGATAATTTCTTATTTATTTCCCACCAGGTACTTTTTCCTGTCTCTACAAGGGACTTATGGGAAGTCTCTGATCTCAAAAGCTCAGAAAATCGACAAACTCCCCATGGACAAAAGAGACCTGGAAATCCAGAGTTGGAGAAGCAGACAGAGGCCTGTGCCCGTCCCTGGAGAGGCTCAGCCCACTCACCATCCAGATCCACCTGTCCCAGAGCAGGGCTTCAGAGCCAGCACCCCAAAGAGCTCAAGGCCTCCCAAGTGGAAGTACAAGGAGGACTGGGCGCTGCATGGGGAGAGATGCAGCAGAGACCACATGAGGGATGACCCATGTTCAGGGGACTCCTCAGCTAAACTCTCATCTGGGGAGCACCTTCTTTTGGGGCCTGGTAAGACGATGGCTTCTGGAGCCTACGCAAGTGGACATACCGATGCCTACCGGCCCTCGAGCAGGGGCAGCCATCGCCGATCCCAGAGTTCACTGACCATGTGAGAGGCCTACAGAACTACGTACAAACTCAGAGGAGGTCACCCAACCACTGGCCTAATTAACCCATTTCCTCTTCATGGAGGAAGGAATGTGCCAGTCTTACTCTTTTTCCCCACCAGGCTTTACTTCCTTAGAGGGAGTGCTGGCCTTAAGGGGTTTGACAAAAAAGGACTGGAAACCAATAGACCTCTAGTTTTCTCCTGCTGCTAAGTAGCACGTCTTGCAAACAACCGAGTTTTTATAAGAAAGCAATGTTTCTATTGCAATGAGTTTTCAAATTTTTTAGCCCAGGAACACTCTTCTGACCCTCTAGATAGGTACAGCCTACGACCCAATGCAAGCAGACCATAAGTTTCCAAGATTCCAAGAAGTATATCAACTCAGGCAATATCTCAGGATATGAAAGTTTCTGCGTTTGTTGAACCATCACCTCACTCCTTGGTGCCAAGAGTTACAGTTTCAGAAGAGACCCATGCACACAAGTGCTTCATCTTGAGTGTCTCACAGTGATGGCTATGTCGAGATTAACATCCCTTCCATTCTCAGAGAGTTGGATCTGCTTTTTGTCTCTAAGCCAAAGAAGACCACATCTAAAAACTAAAACTAGATTTGAACTCAGTGCCACAGACAGTACTGAGGGTTGTAGGGCCACAGCTAGTGTAAGAGGCAGAAAGAACACAAGCGTGCTAAAGAGAACAGGTGCACCAGAAACCCCATGATTTACCACAAATCCCATAGTCTGAGAGGACTTAGGCAGCATTCTTTTGTTAAAGCTATTTATTTTATTTATTTTTAAATAGAAGTCCCCATCCTCATTCAGCTGTCAGGCTAAGAAAACTCTAAGATCAGGAGGTCTTTGCACATCTACACCCAGAATAGACCCACATGATAGAGCAACTCTGAGCCCAAACAATGACATCTTAAAGAGTAGGGCCAATGTGAGACCCTATTCATTAAGCTTATCCCAGAATATCACCATCTGGAAGACACTGGCACATGCTTCAGTTAAATTAGGGAGAGTCAGAGGAAGTCTTACTTCACAGGGAAAAGAAGGAGTATATAGACTTCTTATCCCTAGAGGTCATAAATAACAAAAATATAGAAGAGCTTAAAACAGTGTTGAAAGGAAACAAAGGATGATAGAATTCTAATAGGCTGTCAAGAGAAGCTAGGTCTACCATAGGCAAGGATAGCCTGTCCCTAGTCTTTTAAGATAAGTCAGGGAGAGCTATTGAACCCTCCCCTCCTTAGGGTGGTGCTTATATATCAGGCAAAATCCCTACTGGGGATGGATGCAACAAGTGTGATAAGTCTTTGAGCCTAAGAGTCATAGCCACCCCATGAGTTGACTTATCACTTGAGTGACTTCTCAGCAAAGATGCCCAAAAAGATCACAACAATCAATTGGCAAATGGCAGACTGAGCCGGGCCTTTGACCATCCTGCTGACAAACCTGAACTGAAGGGGCCATTCGGTGCATCTTACTGGAGTCAATACACTGGATCAGTTTCACTGACTCTGCCACATCATGATGCCAACACTAGCCACCTGGTGGGTATTGAGGGGAATCCTACATGAGGTTTGCTGAGGGAGGAGTGGGTAACGCATCAGGCAAAGTAGTAATGGTATGAATTGTCCCAAATGAGGAGATTGAGCCAAAATTTGGATCTCGGGGTCCTCCCTTTCCCCATACAATTCCTGCCCACTCTGGAAAGCTAGATGAGACAGGAAAGACATTTCAGGAAAGAACAGAGTAGTGGAAAGAACACTGGTCTCAGAAGATCTGAGTTTGAGTCTTTACTCTGCCTCTGTACTCTCCAGGAGCCAGGAACCTTGAAGCAGGATGCCATGCCTGCAAATTAGGTTAGAACTGCCCTACCTCCCGGGCTTGGCATAAGGATCACGTCAAAATACACAGGGGATGTGAAAACCCTTTGAAAGCTCCAACACCCTTGATAATAACAGGGATTTTTATTTCAGAGCTAAGAGGAAACAAGGTGATAGGGAAGTTAAGAAAATACCTGACCCCTACACCTAAATGCCAAACCATAACCAACATTCTGATGCTGCTTGCTTTCTTGCATGACCAACCATCCCAGTTTGCCTGGGATTTTCCCAGTTTTAGCACTGAAAGTCCCACATCCTAGGAAACTCCTCAGTCCTAGGACAACTGTTCACCTACTCTTTCTCCTCTTTGTAAACCAAACCAACTGTGACTGTCCAATGTACCATCTTAGGCAAAGGTTAAAACAACTATTTCCCTATAACATAATGCTAGTGATTGTACTTAAAACATTTTTATACTTTTATGACCTTTTACTGATTGACTGGAAATGTGTTGTCCTTTATTAGAAAAAAATAAATATGGTTTTCCATAGTTGCATGCAGTTCTGAGTACTCTCTCTTCCTTCCATCCTTCTTTGCATTCACTCATTCACATCCACTCATCCATTCATTTATCTAGCCAAGAGACAGGCATCTAAGCCCGTACCAGATGCCTGGTGATGTGCTAGGGGCTGTGAGGAACTCAATCCCTGTCTTAAAGAAGCTCATAGCCTTATTGGACACAGTATCAGGAACACATTTGATCCAACATAAGAGTATGACACAAACCAAAACAGCTGGAAGTATTAGAAGCAGCACCCCCAGTCCCCTCTCTCGGAAACTCCAACCTAGCTACTCCACTGTTCCTGGAAGCCTGATGCCAACCTCAAACTCATATTGATTAGGTGCCTCTTTTCATGCACTCATGCAACAAATACCAAGTGAGTGCCTGCTGTACACAGCACTGCGGTAGGCAGCAAGGATAAGAGAAGGAACAAAAGCAGACCCAGCTCCCACCCTCAGGGATTTACAGTCTAGAAGGGGAGACAGACAATATTCAAGGAAGTCAATAAATGTGATAATGACACACAATGAAAGGAAGTTAGAATGGAGATGAAGGGGGGCGGCGGGGAGGGTTCCCAGTGTACTAGAGAAGGGCTCTCCAAGGAGGAGATGCTTCAGCTGAGACCTTAACCATGAAAACAAGACAGCAGGGAAGGGCCATTCCAGACAGAGAATTAAGGATGAAAGCCCTGAAAAAGGTTGGTATAGTCAAAAAAAAGAAAGGCACTCAGTGTGACTAGAATGCAATAAGCAAGAGGAATTGCCCCATGATGATGTTTCTAGAAACAACTGTACTAGCTTGCTGTGTGCTAGACCCTGGTCTAAGTGCACATCATCATGTAAACCTCACAGCAACCCTACAAGGAGGTACTGTTATTCTCTCCTGTTTCAGTTAGTTAGCTTCTGCCGCATAACAAACCACCCCCTAAATGTAGTGAATTAACACAATTGTTCACGTGCTCACAATGCTGTGAGTGGGCAACTTGGGCTGGGATGGCTGGGATCTCCCTCCACATGGTCTCTAATCCTCAAGGACATCAGCTGGCCTTGTCACATGGTAGCATGTTCTGAGAGTGAAAACAGAATCTGCAAAGTCTCTTGAGACCCAGCTCACAACTGACACATCATCAGTGCCATCCCATTCTATCAGTCAAAGCAAGTCACAGGCCAGCCCAGTTTCAAGGGGCTGGGAAAATATACTCCTTTAATAAGAGGAGCTCAAAGAAATTTGAGGCCATTTGCAATCTATCACATCCCATTTACAAAATGAGAAAGTGAGGCAGAGAATAGTTACATAAACATGGCAGCTGGGAAAATATACTCCTTTAATAAGGGAGCTCAAAGAAATCTGAGGCCATTTGCAATCTACCACATCCCATTTACAAAATGAGAAAGTGAGGCAGAGAATAGTTACATAAACATGGCACAGTCACGTAATTAACAAGTGGGGAGGCAGCATCCTACTCCAGAAGAGTCTGAAACCAGAGCCTATACCCTTGGTCACAGAGCTATACAACTGTGAGATGGGGCTGGAGAGGCAGGTGGGCACCAATGACAGCAAGTCTTATCTTCTCATCATTCTGAGAAGCAAGGTAGTGCAGTGCTTAGTGAGCCAGAATTCCATCCCAACTCTGTCACCAACTGGCAACATGACCTGGAGAAAGACCATACCATGCTCAGCCAAGTTGCTTACCCAGACAAAAGCTTAGGGAAGGAAGCTCCTAACAAACACCTAAGGGGAACCAGAACTCATGCCTGCACTGCCCTAAAATATCTCCCCCTGAGCTGATCACCCAGCCAGAACATTCTGTTATGCACAGAGAGGCCCCCAGGAGAAATCAATCACTGGAGCGAATTCTCCCAGGTAACCAGAGAACAGACCTCCGTGGGAGTCTGGGACCCAGGTAGGACTCCACTGATAAAGATGGTGGGGACCATGAGCCGGGCAGTACCCTGAGCAGGCAGGCCTTTTGTGGGCACTACAAGAGGAGTGCTGCCAGCCAAAACTTCAAGACCCGCGATGAGGATTCGGCATTTTCAGACAGGAGCTAAGACCAGGAGCCTTTCTGTTCACAGGCGTTCTGGTGCCACCCAGCATCCGTGGAGGAGCTGCTGCACCTGAGGGTTCTTCCTGCAGCCAGAGCAGGGAAAACAGGGCGGAGGGGGACCCAAGCCAGAGTTGGGAGGCCAGATTTCAAGACCAGCTCTGCCAGCGGTTTCTGCTGTGACTCTGGACAAATCCTTTCACCAGGTTTCAACCTCAAACTGAGGTTTGAGGTGAGAGTTGGACTTGTTCTAACATTCTGTGATTATAAAAGCTATTTGCAGAGGCCAGTTACATTGTAGATACGACCCTGGTTCATTCAAGGCCTTGTGATTTACTATTTGTGCAGTTGTTTGATTCTCTATCACACGCACACACACACACACACACGCTCACATGGTAGAAGATTCTATGAGGAACAGACACTGAGATCTTGTTCTGTGCTGCGTTCCCAGAGCTTGGCACATGGCAGCACTCAACAATGTTATAACTGTTGCTGAAGAAAATCGTCGATGGGGGCTGGTCTCAGAGGGTGTCTACAAAGGCAGGAGGGCAGCACCCTATCTGGGAAGATAATGGACCCCTTAAGCCTTTTTGAGGCCCCAGGTTGCATTTTTCAGATCAGTAGATATTAAGGAGCTGCAAATACCTAAGGAGGGCCCAGGCAGCCACCATTTCCTGCTGTCAGGAGGAAGCTAGAGCTAGGAGGCCTCTTCCCCTCACACAGGCCGTGATAGGCTCCCTCCAGGTGCTAAAATGTGGGACATTTGGACAATGGATGGACATTGAGGGTATAATGCAAAGTGAAATAAGTCAGAGGGAGAA